TGATACAACTATTGGCACAAATGAATGTACATTTTCTGTTAATGAACAGCAAAAGGTGTAAGTGCTCTTGAAATCTGAAAAAAAGATGGATAGCTGGATGGCACTAGAATAGAATTAAAACAAAAAACAAAAAAAAAAAACCAAAAAAAACAACAACAAAAAACAGCAATCCAATGGGATGGAAATTAGTAAATAAAATGACGTAAATATTATTTTAAAAAATTGTAACCATCCATATACTTACTTCGACCGTTTAAGGCTCTCAATAGGCAACGTAGATTTGCCCACACTTCAGGTTCCACCAAAATTATGGTAATTGAATTTATTACGAATGCAACGCAGTGAGCCATGTCAGCAATGCTGGGATTTTCGATATATCCGCAACTGGATGAGTCAAATTTTACTCCATGAGTGAACTAGGGAAATAAATATCAGGACAAGTTATCATGTTTACGAAGTAATTTGTTGTATTAATATTTGTGTGTCTTAAGGTAATTTCCTTGTTTTGCACTGCGCATTTTTCTGTGCATGGGTCTTTTATACAATAAATAAACAAAAATATAAGTAAAAGTTCTATCCAAAACTAAATATAACTTTTCTCAGTTTTGAGTCGAAAAAAAACAAAAAAAAAAAAAACGATTTTGATTGTCATGTTTTATTTTCCAAATAAATTGAAAACGAGAACAGTGATCCCCATCCTTTATTTGGTAAACATTTAATTTTTGTTTCTATAGTTGTCCTTAATTTGCAATGCAATATATTAGAAAATGATTTCTATCTCCTGCAATATCTGCAATAATATCCCGAATTTTATCAATTTGAAGGTTTCCACGGCGTTTCTATGCCCAGTCATGCGTACTGATCTTTAATTACATTAAACGAACGATTTGCTACGATATACAGAAAACGAGAAAATAAGTCAATAAAGTTAAAATAAGCAAGCAAGAAATATAGTCTGGCAGCAAGTGTAGTCAAGCGGGAATTTCAAGCTGCAAACAAATCACCTAACTAAATATGTTAGGGGGACCTTAAATGACATGAAAAAATTTGGTGGCATTTCTGTAACTTGCATCGAGCCGTGTTAGGGGGATTTCAAAAAGTGACGTCAAATCCCAACATGGAAACGAGGATCTGAGTTAAAAATGACTATTTCTTTCCGCCATTTCAACAAMATAGCACCACAATCATACAGATTATGTTTCTCAATGAGCTAGTTGATATTATGTCATAAAAGCGCATATGCATGGTCACGTGATAAAGCTAGCATGGAAGCGAGGCTCTCATAATACGATTGTATTACTTTGCTTTCTGGTTCAGGGAAATTGCTCTAAAGTTGCAGAGAATACGATTAAAACTTATCAGGACATATCTTCTATATATAATGTTAGAAACACTCCTAACACCCTAACTATTATTCTTTAATTACTTCGATCTGCGCGTTATTTGAATTTTAAATTCAAACGAGAACATAGTCTTTTGGTTTATCTTTCATCTTATGTTTGGTGCTGCTAGTTCCCTTTATTATTGATTTATACAAAAAAAGCAGTGTCATGTTAGGAACATCAGTTTGTAGCTATGTGAACAGTCTAGCCATCGCTATCCCTATCGCTCTCATCACTCTCGTAATCAATTTCTTCTAAATAATCACCATCTTCGTCATCTTCCAGTTGATTTTCACACACGCTATCACTATCAGAGCAGCTGCACAGGTCCGTGCAGTTAAGTTGGTCTTTCCGCAGCTGCACCTACTTGACGAGCATTTGCTTTTAGTACATCCACACCTAAAAAGCTGGGTGACAGCTTCTGGTACAGGAAGTAGCGTTGTCATCACAGGCACCCTATTGTCATTCTGCAAATTCCAGCCAAACGTTTCTGGTGAGGGCAGATGCTGTTCTGGCACTAGGTCCAAGCGAGCAGCAGTAAGGGGGACTCGCGAAGTCCCCAGGAACCTATCACCTTTTCACGGGGATTACAGGCGTTAGCGTCTATATGAAACTTTTTGACGGCATGGGGATTACCCGTGTGAAGTAGGTGCGTTACACTGTTTGCTTTCTGGGTACCGCAAACGGAGGAAAAGATATTCCTTAGATATAGATGGACACCATCAAAAGCATTCGTAACAAAACTGTGCGCAAGCTCAGGACTCAGGTGTTGGATCGCCTAGATGTGGACTTTGCCTTCACAACGTTTATGGAGGGAGATACAGACGAGACGATGGACGAACAAAGAGCAGAAAGGATAATCGACTTGATGCCTTAGAAGAGTGTATGGATTGTCAGTGCCTCGACAACCATGTTTCGACTACCTTTTTTTGGTGTCCCCAAAAGATGGGAGAGGAACGATCCGTTCCCCTATCGACGCCGTGGTAGTTGTGCCAAAGTCGCTACGTAGCCCGGTAGGCGAATTCCTCGTATTGTCTTTTGCGCTCGGTAGAGACCTTCCA